ACACTATTTGTTGTGTGCATGATAACGTTTAACATTGTTTAATATATTAATAAAAATGTTTTTTTTTTTTTTTTTTGCTCTGAGTCAAGAATATTTTCTGTACTAAAAAAAAATAATACTTATTGGGGCTACTGAGCTTGAAAAGGCTCATTGGAGTTATACTGAAAAAGACTGTAAGAGAAACTTATTTCTGTTAGAACCATGTGATCAGACAAATGGTATGTTGTCATTCAGATACACAAATGGTGTAGGTTTGAAATAATCATTTAATTTCAATTTTCAATTTTACACCCTGTTCTGCTTTGTTATACCATTAATATTAAAATTTATTTAAAGGTCACATATTTTACAACTTTCTGGAGTTTTATTTTAAGTATTGATGTCCTTAAGAATATATATTTGCGGTATAAGTACCAAAAGCCATCTCAATATATTTTTACAGCTCCTCTCTCAGGAGCTCTGCAGAGAACAGGCCGATTTTGGCCTGTCTAATTAATATTCATGAGCCTCTCTTCTGATTGGCCTGTTGTTTTCTGAGTGACGCACGGCCAGGCCAACCACAGGTAACTAGGATCAGCCGACGTCACAGCGCTAGCGGGAGGCAGCAAAACAAAGAGGAAACTGGAGGCGACCCATTCAAACCAGCGCAGATTCACGGCCAGGCCAACCACAGGCAACTAGGGTCATGTATGCAGTAGCCTGCTGTGTGATATTCACAAGTAAGGTCAATAGAAGAAACACCGGTAATGATGGTCACTGCTGAGGGAAATGTTGTCCGGCCTTACATGTTTGAGCCAAACTCAGACCCCGAATCGGCGACGACAGGAGACAACCAACCACCTCCTCAAACGCGCTTACAACAGGATGTTTCAGAATGGTAATTCATGTTTTTTTTTGGGGGGTCGTCTTATAATCAGGGTCGTTCAAACACCGAATGCAGTAAATACAAACCTGACCAGCCGAGCGTTTGCCATCACGTGAATTTGAAGACTCTTGTACAAATGCGGATGGGTGACATGAATGGAATGATTCCAGATTGGCGATGTAGTATTTGGTTTCTGTATTCTGTACTGTATTTTCCTGCGCTCAAACCTGCCAATCTAAAGGATCAAACGCTGTGTATGGCATTTGAGGTAATTTGTGAATTAGCATAGACTTATAGTCTAAATAAAACAGTCAGCAAATGTCACTATTATTACACTTGTATACAAAACTTTGTATTATGCTTGTTATAGAGTGAGGGGGGTGAATATAATGAGGAACTGATAGCTGGAGCGCATGTGAAGACATGCTACGTGTTAAACCATTGGAATAAAGGCTTCATTGAGCACACAGGAATGCGGGCTGAAGCAGTCTAAGATGTGGATGTGGTTCAAATTCCTGAGCCGCCACCACATGTTGCAATGCTGTCATCAAAGAGAAAGCAGGCTAGCAGGAACTCTAGAAATGAAGGCTTTGAGACAAACCTCCCAAAAGCCTTTAAATACACAAGTATGCATGTCATTTCCTGCTCGATACTTCTGAAATCATCTCTGCACTGCTAATACAATAGGTCAGGAAATAATTCCATGACTAATAATTACATTGCCTACTCAGGTGTTTAGGTTTTTAGGTTTCCAATTCAGGTGTTTAGGTTTTTGGTATATACCTCTGAGTGTAAAAAAAGACCAGGAAAAATGATTTAAAAAGTGAAAAAATATCCTAAAAAAAAATATGACTGACACTTGTTACATGTCCAATAAGCAAAATGCAGAATTATTTCTGCTTTTTGATTAAAAAAAAAAATTCTCTACAGCCCTGAATGTCAGTGGCTGGTCAACTAGATGTGCCCCAGAGACAGATCCCCTGCGAAGACCTCATCACCTCAACGACCATCGCCACAAGACTACAAGATCCAGACGAGTCCTCTGCACAATCTGACCTGTGCTGCAGCCTGGAATTAAACCACACCATGCTGCTTTCATCTGGCCAGAGGAGAACTGGCCCCCCGACTGACCCTGGTTTCTCCAAAAAATTTTTTTGTTGTTGTTGTTGACTGATTGCACAGACACTATTGGAAGAGAGCTGAACTGGATGACGACATCACTGAATCATCAATGAACTGACTTTATCTGGAAAATTGACTGTTTGTTATTTTCCTCTTGCATTACTGACACACAAGTTTCTTGTTTAACACTGTAAAGCTGCTTTGACACAATCAGTATTGTATAAAGCGCTATACAAATAAAGGTGACTTCATACTTGATACTAATGAGTTCTTTAGAGAGCCACCAAACGGTGCCACGACTGTTTGGTAGAACAGACACTGAAGAACCGATAACAGGAATATAAAACAATTTAACAGCCGAATTAAAGCTGACACGAGTGAAAGCTGAACATATATTCTAGGGTCAGACGAACAGCGGCAATCATGTGCTTTCCTGCTGTGTGTACATTAGATAAGCATTACATCATTACATCAGTTCTCAGAATGCAGCAGCAGTATAGTGTGGGTGAAACAATCCCCCATGAGCCCCTGGGGCAGCGTTCCTGTTGGCTGACACAGCAGCTCTTGCAACAGTCTGGGTTTTTTCCTCTTTTGCAGTTGAAGCTCAAATAACAAAGACTGTAAAACCACCACCCACCCTTCACCCACAACTGTAATATTCTATTAGGATGGCAATTAACATTTTTGAGCACTAAAAACAGCTAAATAAGACTTGTTTCTGCTAAACGTGATTTTGAGAAGTTTTAGCTTTATCACTTCCCGTAACAATCGGGATCAGTGAAATGATTTCAGAGCTTCTGGGAATTGAGCTCTTCTCAGGTGACTCATTGCGAAATGTAACTGTTAATAATATTTACACTGTTTAAATATGTCGAAACAAAGTGACCTATATTGCATCATCTATCAGCAGTGTTTCTGGGTCCTTTTGAAGCATGATAGCTGTGGTCACTGCACATCCCTTGACATTTTTTTTTTTCCAGCATTCCACTGATATATACGACTCTGTTCTGGTTTTATTAAGTTGCTGCTTAATATTTTTGTCGAAACCAATACATTTTTGAATAGGAAGTTCAAAAGTACAGCATTTATTTGAAATAGAAATTTGTAACAACGCAACAGTCTTTACTGTCACTTTTCATCAATGTCTTCACTAAATAGAAGTATTAATTTCTTTAAAAACTGACCCCAAATATTTGAACAGCAGTGTATACATATATAATTTTCTTGTTATATATTTCCTTGTTTAGAAAATTAGCATGAATAAAGCTGGTTTGTTATGCCAGTGATGACATATATACATATTTTACTTCCTGATATTGAATTTATGAAGAACAGGGTGTAGCTGTAAGATAACTTGAGTAAATACCTGAAGGCAATACTCATTGCAGGAAGTGAGATAATGTTTATATTTAAGTACTTAACACTATTAATCTTGGAGTTTTTCCATCTTCAATGGTTGTGTTGTTGAATGACATGGAGTATGGAAATGTTTTAAGGCTTTATTGCATGAATTACAAATATTCATTACAACACTTTTTCTTAAAAACATGACGCTTAGTTGCATTTGTCGCATCCAGTGGGGACATAATTACAGATTATAATGACTTATACTGTCTTTTTTTCACGTTTCATCACGCC